CTATGAGGCGCATAGAATGCCGCATAGATCTAGCTCAGCTAACACAACACAGCTAGGGAATTACTTAAGTATTATGATATTGAATTTTCAGGTAATAACATGGAGGCGAAGGTGTGGTTATTGGGGGAGGCTGGAAGCCATTTAAAAAAAAAAGTAGTAGTAGTAGTAATACTAGTATCAGAATTATTTTATTATTATTATGGATTATTATTATCATTATTACTACCAGTACTACTATCATCACTACATATGACCATTAACTCTAAATACCAATAGATAATTTCGTGAAACAACAAAAACAAAAACAAGGTACACAAATCCTCAAAATAATAATAACGCTAAATCACATAAAGAAAAGTTTTTCAACAATATTCCCCATGAACGACCGACAACCTCTCACTACCTGGAGAGGGGAGGGAGAGAGGGAGGAGAGGGAAGGAGGGAGGAGGGAGGAGGAGGAGGGAGGGAGAGGAGGGAGGAGGGAGGAGGTTCGCCTGTCACCAACTGACTTTGAATCTCAAGTGTTTTTTGCGAATGTTTCAACTTATCTCGGTAATGGGGGGAGAACGGGCTGGCACACACACACACACACACACACACACCTGATGGCCGGATGGGAAGGTAAGAGGGCGGGGGAGGTGGGTGGTGGGCGGGTGGGTTTTAAAATAGAGCTGAAAACAATGATTGAGAGAGAGAGAGAGAGAGAGAGAGAGAGAGAGAGAGAGAGAGAGAGAGAGAGAGAGAGAGAGAGAGAGAGAGAGAGAGGCACCATCTCGTTGTATATTTAAGAGTTACCATACACATGTACTGCCCTAGTCTTGAAGGGCCTGGCTACTCTACCCTGTTTTAGTCCAAACAGGCCCCAAGCTCAGTTGTCAAATTAAGAATGGGGCTCAGTAGGATTCAGGGCCCCACATAACGTAAAACTAACCTTAAGGTCCTGTTGTGATGATTAATTTAAAATTTACAGGTAATGGCAGGTAAGTCTACAGGTATTTAAAGATGTCAACAATATTGGTCAGAAGTGTTGGGAAAATAGATTGACTTTCAGGTATAAGAATGATAGATTAAAAAAGTATTAGTATTTTGCGAAGACGTGATATTTAGGTAGAAAGATGATGATTTAGACTGAGTGAAAAAGCTTTGCAATCTCAGCATTTTAAGATGAAGGTGAAGAAAGAAAATAAATATATAAATGGCAACGCAACAGTGAAAACCTTCAAGATCAAGATGACTTAAGTTTAATAGATAAAAATGCGAGTGAATTTTTATTTTTTATAAGAAATGAAAGGCCACCAAACGTCCAGGTTAGGTTAGGTTAGGTTAGGTTAGGTTTAGGGCAGGAGAGGTTAGGTTAGATTTAATTTAGGTTAGGTTAGGTTGAGAACAGAAAAGGTTAGGTGAGATTGAGGGCAGAAAAGGTTAGGTTAGGTTGACAGCAAAAAAATGTTAGGTTTGGTTGAGAGCAGAAAAGGTTAGGTCAGGGGTAGAAAAAACTCAACCTCGGAGCAACGCAAAACTTCCAAACAGCACAAAGCCTCTTGCTTCTCTTCCTTTCCTCTCGTCTTCCACCGCCCTCAGCTTCCTGCCCTTCACCGTAAATCATTAGCGAGAGGAAGAAAAGTCTGGGTGTTCCATAATGCAGAGGAAAACTTATATATACGTATGGGCCAAGTTGTGCAAGCCACTCGTCCTTGATCCACCAGCAGCGTCAAAACAAACTTTTAGTCGAGAAGGCCGCCGCTAGTGGTGCTGTTGGTGGTAGTGGTAGGGATGGTGTTGGTGGTAATGATGGTGGTAGTAGGGGTAAGAATGGTGGTGGTAGTAGGTGGTAGGGGCGGTAAGGGTGTCGTTGGTGAATGTGGTGGTGTTGGTGGTGATAGTGTTTGTTTGTAATGCTGATGATAGTAGGTGGTAGTAGTAAGGAGGGGGGGGGGGGTGGGGGGGAGGGGTGGACGAGAAAAAGACTCAACAGCTGTACATCTTGAATGACTCGTTCGTAATGCAGATAAACAGCGACGGTAAGAAAAACCCTCTACAGAACTCCCCAGCGTCACAACAAGAGGAAAAGTTACATCAACAGGTCAAAAAGCCGTCAACAACACTGTTTCATTGATTATTATGATGCTTAAGTCAGAGGAGGGAAGGAGGGGGGAGGGGGGGGGAATGGGCGAAGGATGGAGAGGACAGAGGGAGGGATGGAAATTAGAGGGGGGAAAGAGGGATAAGGGAAGGATAGGAAGGAGGAAGAGAAGGAGGCGAGGAGGATAGGGCGAGGGGAGGAGGAAATGAGGGCGAGGGGAAAAGACACTGAGAGATGTGAGAAGGAAGAGAAGCGAAGGCAGAAGGGGAGAGGTGAAATAAGGAGGGAAGAGGGCGAGGGAAGAGGATATGGGGGAGAGGAGGGACAAGGGGAAGGAAAGAAGGGGAGGGAGGGAGGGCCGAAGTCAAAAAGGAAGAGGGAAGCGAGGGAAAGAGGGGAGGGGGGATGGGAGGGAAGGGAAGGAGGGAAGGAAGAAAGGGGGGGATGGAAGAATGGGGAGGGAGGGAAGAATGGGGAGAGAGGGAAGAATGGGAGGAGAGGGGTAGGAAGGGAAGAAGGGGAAGGGGGAGGGGAGGGGAGGGGAGGGCGAGCAATCCCTCTCCCCGTGTACAGTTCGCCAACCTGGAGACTCCAAAGGACTATACTCAGGACCATTCAGGGTTAGTCAGGGGAAAATCCCAAATACCAAATTCAAGAGAAAAGTCACTGAAATGTTAGATCTGGCGGGGAAAAAATACGAAATGCAACATCAGTTTTTAAAGAAATTTCCCTCCCTCCCTTCCTTCCTCTTTTACCCTTCCACCCTTCCTCTTCTCTCTACCCCTCCTTTACTCTTCTTCCCTTCCCCCTTGTCCCTCTCTCTCCACTCCTTCCTCCCTCCTTTCCCCCCATTCTTACCTCCCTCCTCCTCGTCAATTTCCCTAACGAAGGTATTCCAACAAGTACTTAAAGCATACAACATGCCCTCAATATCAAGCACTTTGCCACACTAATACAGGTACATCCTCACTGTAGTATAAGGTAGTTGCATATATTGATCTTGCAAGTTGGTGTACGGGAAGGAATTATTTGTTTATACAGTTTATGAAAAGTATATGTGTGTGTGTGTGTGTGTGTGTGTGTGTGTGTGTGTGTGTGTGTGAAATATGAGGAAGTAACGAAGAAGAGAATAATTGAAGAGAAATGAAGTGAATGAGAGGAATAAACAGAGTAAATAAGACACACACAGAGAATAATAAACACAGTAATAATGTATAAATGACACCAATTCTATACCGAGACTGTTCGTTCGCTATACAACGTTCACTTAGCGCAAACTACACTAACACTCCTCTCGTTCGCTAAGAGACAAATATGACCCTCAAAAATACAAGATCCTCGTTAATCCGGACCCCAGAAATCCGGCTCTCGTTAAATCTGGTGGAAATTCGGATAATTACCACTTAACCGTACAGTGAAGCTAAATACATTATATTTCAGGAATATTCGTTACGGCTTCACTTATCTATTTAAATTAGGTTAACATAGCACAGCCTGGCCTTCCTGTACTCTGCCTGTAGTTCATGTACCGCTATCATACTAAACTTTTGTAACACCCTCGCGTATTCTCTCAAGTCTGGTGAGAATCAATCGTAAGAGCCTTTAAGAATCTGAACCCAGAGACTTACCGACAGTAACTTCTCATAAACTGATGAGGTTCAATGGTATAAGCCGTAAGTCATCAGGTTATAGAGGCCATAATCTTTCTCTCCACAAGTTATCACGGGTTAAAGCTCCTCTCGTCGACTGAAGCTTCTCTCTGGGGGTAGAGAGAACTTTCCTAAGAGTACAGAGCTCTTGGTGGGGGACACTTGAGAGTCTCTTGGGAGGAGGAAACATCTCTTGAGCGCTGGAGAAACTTTCCTCGTTTTTTAGCTGAAATTATCCCGGAGGAAACCTGTGGATGTGCCCTAAATATGGAGGTGAACTTAAAGCATGACCTCTGACCTCTGACCTCTATACGATGTTGACCATAATCTTTGTCGATCTTTAGTTTTCAAATGATACACCACAGAAAACAAATGACTTTCTCCAACTTTCACCTGGACTTTCTCTGTAACTTTCAGATCCTTTCTTCAACTAACAATTTAACCCTCAGAGCTTTCACTAACTTTCACCTCTTACTAATCCTCAGGGGCTTTCTTTTGTAACTATCAATTCCTTTTTCCAATCTTCACCCTCCTCACCCTCACCCATTTTCCTCGATGCAATAATCTTTATAATAAGTTTTAGGTTAGGTTAGGTTAGGTTAGGTTATTTACACTCTGAATATAATCACGTGACGGGCCAGTTATATACACCATCAACACAACACAGGATAATTAAGCACTACACAACGATGTCTTCCCTTCATACCGACACACTCAGTTCATGGATACAACACAAAAGAAAAGTAGATACCTAATTACTTATGTATAATCGATCCTGATATGTGTTTGTTGTTTGTGAGGTGGTGGTGGTGGTGGTGACTTACCTGTGTCCCCGCCAAGAACTAGTGTACGTGAGGTGGTGGTGGTGACTTACCTGTGTCCCCTCCAAGAACTAGTGTACGTGAGGTGGTGGTGGTGACTTACCTGTGTCCCCGCCAAGAACTAGTGTACGTGAGGTGGTGGTGGTGACTTACCTGTGTCCCCGCCAAGAACTAGTGTACGTGACTTACCTGTGTCCCCGCCAAGAACTAGTGTACGTGAGGTGGTGGTGGTGACTTACCTGTGTCCCCTCCAAGAACTAGTGTACGTGAGGTGGTGGTGGTGACTTACCTGTGTCCCCGCCAAGAACTAGTGTACGTGAGGTGGTGGTGGTGACTTACCTGTGTCCCCGCCAAGAATTAGTGTGTACGAGGTGGTGGTGGTGACTTACCTGTGTGTCTCCGCCAAGAACTAGTGTACGTGAGGTGGTGGTGGTGGTGATGACTTACCTGTGTCCCCTCCAAGAACCACTGTAAGGTGGGTTTGTGGTCCCGGCTGAAAGCCTGTCCAGGTTGGCAGCCGATCTTGATGACTTCTGTGGGCTCGTAGATCTCCCGCGCCCCTACCAGCGTGGGCGCCAACAGTGGTTCTTCTGCGGGAGAAAAGAGTCCGGGTTATTGATACTGAGGGAGGGAGGGAGGGAGGGAGGGAGGGAGGGAGGGAGAAAAGGAAGGAGGAAAAAAGGGAAGGGAGAAGAGAAATAGGGAGGGAGGAGGATCTAAGAGCATCACAAATATAAGAGAAACAGCTGTAACATTACCTGTCTTATGAACTGTAAACAAAGACATGTGGTCACAGGTAAAGGGGAACCCAAACACTATATACTGACGGTGTCTGTCTCTCTCTCTCTCTCTCTCTCTCTCTCTCTCTCTCTCTCTCTCTCTCTCTCTCTCTCTCTCTCTCTCTCTCTCTCTGAGCTAATATATATTATAATTATGTTTACCTGCGGCAACATTACCCAGGTCTTTCTATGCCAGGACAAAAAGGTCACCCCCTCACTCTCACCTATTTTACCTTACCTACCTATACCCTGACCCCGACCTACTCACACACAACCCACATCAACACCTACCATCTCCATCCACATCTTCAGACACACTCATATCCACATCTATCCACCCTCTCACATCTTTTACCTACATAAACACAGACATCCACCCTACCTCCAGTCACACCTATCACCATACTCACCCCTCACCCACCCACACCCATCTTCCCCATCCACACTTACCCCCACTCCACCTCATCTCCCCAACCACCCCCACCCACACCCATCCTCCCCCACTCCACACCCATCCTCCCGGCCAACACACGACCCTGATAGACCTTGACAGTTTGTGGATACTTCACAGTTACGCAAGTTCACCCATACACTGGAGGGCCAGGAAGTGACGCCACCAGAGGGCCAGGGAAGTGACGCCACCAGAGGGCCAGGAAGTGATGCCACCAGAGGGCCAGGAAGTGACGCCACCAGAGGGCCAGGGAAGTGACGCCACCAGAGGCCAGGAAGTGACCACCAGAGGCAGGAAGTGATGCCACCAGAGGCCAGGGAGGATGCCACCAGGGAGGAAGTGACGCCACCAGAGGGCCAGGGAAGGATGCCACCAGAGGGCCAGGAAGTGACGCCACCAGAGGGCCAGGGAAGTGACACCACCAGAGGGCCAGGGAAGTGACACCACCAGAGGGCCAGGGAAGTGATACCACCAAGGGCCAGGAAGTGACGCCACCCAGAGGGCCAGGGAAGTGACGCCACCAGAGGCCAGGAAGATGCCACCAGAGGGCCAGGAAGGACGCCACCAGAGGGCTAGGAAGTGATACACCAGAGGGCCAGGAAGTGACGCCACCAGAGGCCAGGGAAGATGCCACCAGAGGGCCAGGGAAGTGACGCCACCAGAGGGCCAGGGAAGTGACACCACCGAGGGCCAGGGAAGTGATCCACCAGAGGGCCAGGGAAGTGACGCCACCAGAGGGCCAGGGAAGTGACGCCACCAGAGCGGAGGAAGTGATGCCACCAGAGGGCGGCAGCGACGCCACCAGAGGGCCAGGAAGTGATGCCACCAGAGGGCCAGGAAGTGATGCCACCAGAGGGCCAGGGAAGTGACACCACCAGAGGGCCAGGGAAGTGACGCCACCAGAGGGCCAGGGAAGTGACACCACCAGAGGGCCAGGGAAGTGACACCACCAGAGGGCCAGGGAAGTGACACCACCAGAGGGCCAGGGAAGTGACACCACCAGAGGGCCAGGAAGTGACGCCACCAGAGGCCAGGGAAGTGACGCCACCAGAGGGCCAGGGAAGTGACACCACCAGAGGGCACAGGAAGTGACGCCACCAGAGGGCCAGGGAAGTGACACCACCAGAGGCCAGGAAGTGATGCCACCAGAGGGCCAGGAAGTGATGCCACCAGAGGGCCAGGAAGTGACACCACCAGAGGGCCAGGAAGTGACACCACCAGAGGCCAGGAAAACGCCACCAGAGGGCCAGGGAAGTACACCACCAGAGGGCCAGGGAAGTGACGCCACCAGAGGGCTGGGAAGGACACCACCAGAGGGCCAGGAAGTGACGCCACCAGAGGGCCAGGAAGTGACACCACCAGAGGGCCAGGAAGTGACACCACCAGCCATGAGGTAACGAACAGGTTCATTTATTCCTCTCCCTGATTTATGTTTATTGTCGCCTTTATTTCGTCTGTTTTGTGTCTCAGGGTCAGTAAAGTAAACAAGAGTGTATTAAAGCCTCTCTCAGGCGTTACACCACTGAAATCCCCGTAACAGGGAGACATAGTGGTGGTGGTGAGAGTGGGATTACAGAGTACAGGCGTGGTGGTGGGATTACAAAGGTACAGGCACGGTGGTGGTGGGATTACAGAGGTACAGGCGTAGATGTGGTAGGATTACAGAGGTACAGGCACGGTGGTGGGATTACAGAGGTACAGGCGTAGATGTGGTAGGATTACAGAGGTACAGGCGCGGGGTGGTGGGATTACAGAGGTACAGGCGTAGATGTGGTAGGATTACAGAGGTACAGGCGCAGTGGTGGCGGGATTACAGAGGTACAGGCGTAAGATGTGGTAGGATTACAGAGGTACAGGCGTAGATGTGGTAGGATTACAGAGGTACAGGCGCAGTGGTGGCGGATTACAGAGGTACAGGCGTAGATGTGGTAGGATTACAGAGGTACAGGCACGTGGTGGTGGGATTACAGAGGTACAGGCGTAGTGGTGGTGGGATTACAGAGGTACAGGCACGGTGGTGGTGGGATTACAGAGGTACAGGCGTAGAGGTGGTAGGATTACAGAGGTACAGGCGTAGAGGTGGTGTGGATTACAGAGGTACAGGCGGGTGGGATTACAGAAGCACAGGCGGAATCACAAAATAAGCGGCAGGTAGATTACAAAGGTAAATCCAGGCAGGTGCAAACATTTATATAGATTAAGGATGTCAGAGGGCCGACCCTAGTGACCATCTGTCTCTATGTTTACAAACGTTAATACTACCAGGTGGTCCAGTGTGTGGTGGGGGAGGGGGGCCAGTGATCCCTGCAGATTGACACACACACACACACACACACACACACACACACACACACTCCAATAAGTTTAAGTGCTTGGGACCAATACACTTCATTTCTATACGCTTAATTTTACCTCCCAAGGAAAAAAAACATCTAATCCGCTGCTTGACTTTTTTCCATCACTAGGGAAAAAATTCTTGCACGCCACGCTTCCCGTCACAAGATTTGCAAATAAAAGATTAATGAAGACGTAAAAGACATATCCGTGGTTGAACCTTTTGGAAAAATATTACATACGACAAGCAGTAAAGTCTGGTCAACATAAGACTTATCTCGTTATGCAAATTCTCTATAATATTGACGTTGCACACACACACACACACACACACACACACACACACACACACACACACACACACACAACACACACACACACACACACACACACACACACACACACACACACACAGAAGGTAGGGTGAAAGTGATGATGAGGTTGATGGTCAATAGGGTGGTGGGTGAAGAGGGTGATGGGTGAATAGGGTGATGGGTGAATAGGGTGATGGGGTGAATAGGGTGGTGGGTGAATAGGGTGGTGGGTGAATAGGGTGGTGGGTGAATAGGGTGGTGGGTGAAGAGGGTGGGGTGAAGAGGTGGTGGGTGAAGAGGGTGGTGGGTGAAGAGGGTGGTGGGTGAATAGGGTGGTGGGTGAAGAGGGTGGTGGGTGAAGAGGTGGTGGTGAAGAGGGTGGTGGGTGAAGAGGGTGGTGGTGAAGAGGGTGGTGGGTGAATAGGGAAGAGGGTGGTGGGTGAAGAGTGGTGGGTGAATAGGGTGGTGGGTGAAGAGGGTGGGTGGGAAGAGGGTGGTGGGTGAAGAGGGTGGGGGTGAAGAGGGTGGTGGGTGAAGAGGGTGGTGGTGAAGAGGGTGGTGGGTGAATAGGGTGGTGGGTGAAGAGGGTGGTGGGTAAGAGGGTGGTGGGTGAAGAGGTGGTGGGTGAAGAGGGTGGTGGGTGAAGAGGGTGGTGGGTGAAGAGGGTGGGTGAAAGGTGGGGGTGAAGAGGGTGGGTGAAGAGGGTGGTGGGTGAAGGAAGGGGTGAAGAGGGTGGGGTGAAGGTGGTGGTGAGGTAGGTGAAGAGGGTGGTGGGGTGAGGGGTGGTGGGTGAAGAGGTGGTGGGTGAAAGAGTGGTGGGTGAAGAGGGTGGTGGGTGAAGAGATTGGTGGGTGAAGAGGGTGGGTGAAGAGGGTGGTGGTGAGGTGAAGGTGAGAGGGTGGTGGGTGAAGGGTGGTGGGTGAAGAGGGGTGGGGTGGGTGAAGAAGGTGGTGGGTGAAGAGGTGGTGGGTGAAGAGGGTGGTGGGTGAAGGGGGTGAAAGTGGTGGGTGAAAGGGTGGTGGGTGAAGAGGTTGGTTAGGTGAAGAGTTGGTTGGGTGAAGAAGTTGGTGGGTGAAGAGTGGTGGGTGAAGGTGGTGGGTTGAAGTTGGTGGGTGAATAGGGTGGTGGGTGAATAGGGTGGTGGGTGAATAGGGTGTGGGTGAGAGGGTGGTGTGAAGAGGTTGGTGGGTGAAGAGGGTGGTTGGGTGAGAGTTGGTGGGTGAAGAATTGGTGGGTGAGGTGGTGGGTGAAGGGTGGTGGGTGAATAAGGTGGAGGGTGAAGGGGTGATGGGTGAATAGGGTGGTGGGTGAATAGTGGTGGAAGAAGGTGGTGGGTGAATAGGTTGGTGGGTGAAGAGGGTGATGGTGAATAGAAGTTGGTGGGTGAATAGGGTGGTGGGTGAAGAGAGTGGTGGGTGAAGAGGGTGGTGGGTGAATAGGGTGTTGGGTGAAAGAATGGTGGGTGAATAAGTTGGTGGGTGAAGAGGGTGGTGGGTGAATAAGGGTGGTGAATAGTGGTGGGTGAATAGGGGTGAGTGTGAATAGGGTGGTGGGTGAATAGGGTGATGAATAGGTGGTGGGTGAATAAAGTTGGTGGGTGAATAGGTTGATGGTGAATAAGGTGGAGGGTGGTAAGGCAGTGCAGTTGGGGATGCCAGCAACATTTAACTCAAACACCTCAACCCAACACTCCAACCCAACCCTCCAACCAA